AACATTACACAGTGCTTCCCACCTCTCTGTTATAGTGATTTAGTAAATATTGTACCTTTGGTGTTGGAGTAGGAGGCTTGTTGAAAAATTTTGCAAAACTTTCTTGGACCTTCTGTCGCTTTCGTTCCTAACAAGAAGATCATATTAAAGGAACAGGAGTCATAAGACATATTTTTAGTACAGACGGCACATGTAAAACATTGCTGGGTACTGGTTAGAAAAACGGGAATATATTTTATATTTGAGACTTTTTGCCACAGTAAGCCTACAAATTGTTTGGTGTTGTGTGCTACACTAAAAGCATAAGTGGAATAATGTCATTCAAATGAACTTTTTATCCTACAAAACCGGCAAGTACATAACTCAGACTGGATCAGCTCATTTAATTATGAGGGAATACAGAGACTTTTATTTAAATGAGTTGATGCAGTCCGAGTTTTGTACCTGCCATATAAAAAATATAATATTTTCACACACTTGTAAGGAAACTTATCATATTAGATCACCTGTTCTTCCTCTATGCTCCTTTTATCTGCTTCTCTTTTTCTTTTTTCTTCTAACTTGGCACTAATAACATGGAGACAGATCATAGTTATACCCATAACTGTGATTGTGGAAATTTCACAACCATGATTTCATATTAAAGTCAGTTATACTAACTAATGTCTGACATTTAGCTCAGTCAAAATCTTTATTTTTATGGCAGAAGACGGAAGTTATGTCTGGCTTTATTATATCCACTGCCCCTGTAAATAAAAGTGATATTGACCGGTACTTACTTTTTCTCTTCTTCCTTTTTTCGCTTTTCCTCATCTCTTTTTTCTTTCTTTTCTAACCGTTCTTTTTCTTCTTTTTCTTTCTTTTCCAATCTTTCTTTATCCTTTCTTTCCTTTTCCGCTTGCTTTTCTTGTCTTTCTTGATCACGTTTCCTTTTAGCCTCGAGTCTTTCCTTTTCCTTCACGGCCTTTGCATCCTGTTTTTCCTTTAATTTCTCTTCCCTCAGTCTTTGCTTCTCCTGCCTTTCCTTTTCCTAAAAATAAAAATTTTTCTATGAGTCTTTAAAAAGGACAGTATTAGAATAAATCGAATGGATACCCCAACAACCCTGGTCAACGCACATTTTTGAGAGTTTATTACCAGTTGTCACAAGTTGAAGTACCTTACCCTTTCTTCTTTTCTCTTTTGTTTTTCAGCACTTTTTTGAAGTGGTGTTCCACCATTTACCTGAAAAACATAGATTTCAAGTTGATTAATTTTAGGCAGAGCTAAAATCAGAAACTTTGTTCATCAGAAAACAACTACATAGTAGTAAATGAGGTGTCACATCTAGTGACCGTAAACAAACAAGCAAGATGACTTGTGCAAGAAATCTGAAAATTATCTACTTTGGGTTTCCGTGCGTAACAACTTTTGCACATTTTGTGAAATCTGGAAGTGTCATTTATTCACACCACAGATTTTAAGATCAAAGAATGAGATTTATCAGTTGTGTTTGTGTATGAGTGGTACTTTGCTTGCCCATTTCAAAGCACATAGGGAAATTTACTCTATTAAAATCAGTTGTACTGGATATTGGAAAACAATGACACATTAGGGCATGTTTGACATTCTTACTAGACTTAACTATGTCGGTAATATTAAAGATTTTATTTTGGTCACATTAATTATTCATCAACTCATTAGGATCAAAGGTCTTTTATACAGCTTTACAAATGACTATTAACAACCAATCATTACCAGCCCAAGGTCTTGATATTAGGGTTGAGGTCCTTACCAACTTTGTCGAAGAGAGATAACACATGCAGGGCTACTATTAAGAGGCAGGGGCTGGGGATATCCCTCCAGCCACTATGAACGTGGCCCCCCGGCTACTTTCAAAAGAAAATAGAAGAAAAATAGAACCAAAAGAAACCCCCAGCTGTTTAATCCTCACCTACTTGTTGTATTTACCTGGCAACTTAAAATCTTAGTGACAATTCCACACATGTATAAAATATAATATATAAAAGGTGTGGTAAATTCCCTTACAACTTATCCCCACTTAACATGCCTATATCAAACTGGCAAAGAAAAATTTTAGTTTACTGAAGTTGTCAACCTTACAGACCTTTGGAAAATTATGCAATAATATAATGCTACATGATGACGCTGTGTGGTGATGTATTTATAGTAACAAAACCTTATTAGACTCCTTACCTTACTTTTACGGTTCACTTTGGTGGGAGGAGACTGATCTATGATCATCAATTCATTTTCCCCACAAGAAGAAATACCCTCTGGAGAAGAAGTAATGTTTGCTATTTTCTCTCCAGCTGTTGTCTCTACACCATTTTCTAAAATCAAGCACTTGGGTACTTTTGCTAGATCATGGGAGGCCTCTGGTTTTACTGAATTCTCTTTCACATCAGGAGGAGAGGGTGCACCAGTGACAAGACCTCCATTTACTTTGATTTTTTCATCAATGTGTGATTTGTCCTCCGAATTACCATTAGTAAGTGAAGAAACTGAAGCTTTAGAACAATCAGAAGAAGTTGATGGGGATGAATCTAATCTACCAAAGGGTAAAACAGCTGAAAGAAGAATATAAACAAATGATTTGCATCTTAATATACAGACTGTATCTCAGTTCATTGCAAGAAGTACAATAATAATGATAATTATACTACCACAGGAGAAATTTCTGCAATTTGATTGGCTTGGAGCAGTGGTATTTCAGCTTAATTTGAAATACCTACATGTGAAAACTACAAACCTTTTGCGGGTAGTAGTATAAACAAATAATAGCATGATTTGTACGTGATATGCCGCATAAATACCACTCATGATATTTCAAAATTGTCTCAAATTTCACTCGCCTAACAGCTCATGAAATTACGTATAACAATTTTGAAACATCACTTGTGGTATTTATGCCAAATATCACTACAAATCATGCCATTACCTATACCTATAATAATAATAATAATAATAATAATAATAATAATAATAATAATAATAATATACACTTATATAGCACTTTCCTCTTAGTGATCCAAAGCACTTTACAATACTAATAGTAAGTAAACCTACTAAAATATTACAATGACTTAATTGTTAAAAAAACATGAATTACAACTGAAAAGCACACTTAAAAAGAAATGTTTTGTGATCAGCTCAAAACATGTGTGTAAACTGACTGGAATGGAATTCCAGATCTTAGAAGCCACATGTGAAAAAGGTCTGTAACCATAGGTTTTAAGGTTATACTTAGGCTGAAACTAAGAGTCCTTTATTTCCAGAGCGCAATACGTTTTACTTCTGTTGAACTAACACCAAGAGAAGGAAGACTAAATTGTTTCAATTGTAGAGGGCATCAGTTTATAAATAACAATAATTATACTACTACATGAGAAATTTCTGCAATTTGATTGGCTTAGAGCAGTGGTATTTCAGCTTACAAAATAGCTACTTGTGAAAATTACAAAACATTTGTGGTTGGTAGTATAAACAAATAATAGCATGATTTGTACTTGACATTAGGCATAAATACCACTCTTGATATTTCAAAATTGTCTCAAATTTCACTCGCCTAACAGCTCATGAAATTACGTATAACAATTTTGAAATGTCACTCATGGTATTTATGCCAAATATCACTACAAATCATGCTATTACCTATACCAATAATAATAATAATAATAATAATAAATAATAATAATAATAATAATAATGAAAGCCGGGGTTTGAAGGCCTTCACAGAGCATACACCTCTACCCAAACTTCCCTTGAGTGACCCCCCTACCCCTAATATCGGACCCTGCACTCGCTTGTCTTGTCTCTCCAGTGGTTTTTAACCTTGCGTGTTCATACTCAGGTCTTTGTTCCAAATGTTTTATTGTTCAAGTTCAAAGGTTAAATACTGAAGGAGCCATTAAATCGGACTATTGATGTGTTTCCTTACTTCATATATATCTTTTTATTTCATTTTTATTATTACTATTTTTTGTTTTTGTTTTTTAGCAGTTGAAAGAAACTTTTATTTAAATACTAATAATTATTAAACCGGTTGTAACTTATTGGGGTAAGATATCTTTCCTGAAGCCCCATACATTTTATATGCATTCATGTTTCAACTCCATTCTGTCCTTACAGGATTTTGCAAATAAATTATGTAGATGTAGATGTAGACATTCATAACTATTTGTGCTAAATAGCATGAAATTGTTGCATGCATAATAAATTTATAGGGTTGTACGGAAATCTTTCCAAATTTATATTGAAATAGGGCCCAAGGGTAAGATTAAAGCCTTTTAGTCGATATTTTGGATAAAAGCTATTTTGGCTTTCGTTACTTTTTACATTTGGCGTATAAGTTCGTCACATTGTCGCATAAACTCGTCATTTTGCTCGTGCATTCAGTATGTTTTTTCTTCTATAAAGCGACGGTCCCCTAAAGGTAACGAAAGCCGATGTTTTTGCACGCATTTTAACAAACCTTGCTTGAGTCTTTTGCATGGTGGACTTGAACAATCATCTCTATCCGATTCCCTTGCAATTGCTATAAAGCACAACACATATCCAAAATGTTAAGCTCAAGTTGTTGCAACTAAATCCGAAAGAGGCAAATTTATTTTAGCAGACTGCACTTGATATGAAATTTTATAAAACCTACCTTTGCTTGTTGTTTCGCTTTGAACACGAGCTTCAGAGGTTTCACCGGGATTTCTCATAGCTTCAAGCTTTTTAAGGTAACTATAACACCAAGCAAAATGTAAAGAAACTAGAGAAAAAGAGAGAAAAGGCGAGAAAATAGAAAAGAAATGATCTCAAGCGAAGATTTGTGTTGAAAGTAGTGCGCTCTTCAAAAAATGGCGGGAATTGCATTTTCTGATGAACTCTGGGAAGGTATGTCTGATGAGAGGTCTGGGTCTGAGAGGAAGAAAAGGGAATACATACATGACGTAGTTTAATGTAAAGTTTAATGCAACAGCGTTTGGATGTGACCTTCTTCCAACAGAATAATGAATGCTCCTGAGTCATTTGAGCCTTTCCTTTTGTATGACGGGGAAAAAAAGTAAGTGAAACAACCTGGGATAGTCGAACATGTGGCCTTTGTAAATGAAATTTTGTTACGACATACTTCTATATAAGAACTTAAGTCGGGGAAGCTGGAAATCTTCCATGCTCACCATGAATGATATTCAAATTCACTTGTTTTTGTTCAATAAGCTTAAGCTTATATAAAACTTATGTTAATAATGAGAAATAAAACGTGAGGATTAACGAGCATGTAATGGTATCAATGAAGTTAGTAATGATGAAATTTATCCTCAGAATCACTATATCCAAGGACACCAAAGTTCCAAATGCAGCACACTTTGTAGTGAACAAGGAAGATCACACATTAGGAAATCTACTCAGGGCGTAAGTTATTAAAAGTTTGTTATTTCACAGATGGCATCATATTGTAATATCCCTTTAAAACTTCAAAGGAAGTTATAGTCGAACCTCCCACAACCAACCATCCAAAAGGTAAGAGGCTGTTTTGCCGAAAAGTCAATTCTCCTGAAGTTACTTTACCCGAATGTAAGTCGATTCGCCCGATGTTTATTTGTTGTTCTTTAAGCCTGAAAAGTAAAAAAAACATGAAAAGAGAGTGCAGGGCTTTAAATGACAGCTGGTCAATGGACAATGGCCGGTCAGAATTGGGTATTGACCATACAAATCCTTGGATTACTGGATATGTTTGTGGTCATATTTTACTCATTCAAAGAAATTTTCATTTTTAACTATTTGATAATCATGAGGGACAACATTCATGTTTCTGAAAGAAAAAGAAAATGAATATAAAATTAGACAAATTAGTGGTTGAGAAATTCCTGGTAGTCGCAAATTTCCACGATATCATCTAGTCCTGTCATCTAGTCCTGTCCTAACCGCAAATCATCGTGTCTTCCACTATTTTGTTTACTCTAAGTGTTCCCAATAAGGACAGGGTTTTACCTTCCACTACATACCATTGACTCTTAAATTAAGGGATTGATTGTTTGACTGATTGATTGGAAAGCACCCTTACGAAGAATAATCTTGGCTGCACCGAGAATACCCCGGGTATCAATTGTTGCAAAGTGCAAAAAGCAAGAAAAAGCCGCAAAACCAGGAAAATCCGACCACCCGTTTACTCTAAAATGTAATATTCTAATTATTATAAGTGATTTCGCAAGATGTAAACGAAAGGTTGCGGTTGTATCTTGCATAACCAGTCCACGTATGTGAGGCTGCTTCTGCAATAACAAGCAATAAAACTGTTAACTTGTACTTTTTATTGCCAAATTAACTTGGATTCAGTTGGTTTTTAGTTAAAAAAGGTTTACTATTGCAAGAGTTACGACTGTTGCAATTGACCGGCCAAAAACAGGTCATGTCCGAGCAAGAACATGTTTGACTGTTTGACTATTGCGGTTACTGAGTAACATGTAGACTTCAGTTTTTATGTACAGTCTTTCATTGTCTCGAATAATATTATGATTATCGAGATCGCTAAGATTGTTCAGATCACTTGACCATTTTTATCAGTCATAGCAATAGAGATCAATAGAATCCAAGCTTAACTAAAAACAGCTCTGATATTAAAGCTGTGTTGTAGAGTGTAGTTGTCTTTGGGTGAATCGACTTGCGTCCGGGTGAAACACCTTCAGGCGAATCAACTTTCAGGTGACACAACCATAATGCACTCAAAATGTGAAGACTTCGTGGTTTCTTACAGGAGGTGGTCGTTTACAAGAATCAAACAACAGGGGGCCTCTTCTGAGAAGAAGTCCTCTTACACATTCACTAGGATGACAGATGATTTATTGCACGCAATTTCCAAGCTACAATATGTGTAGTTCTATGTTTTTGTTAAAAGTTCTTGGCATACTTTAAGTAACTTAGTACATAGAGCAAACATAGAGATCAGAACGTGTATGAAATGGGGGCTTACAAGATGTTAAAAACAATAGAAAATTATTTCAGCCCTGAAAAGTGGTCATGATCACTTAAAGGAGGTAGTCGTCTACGAGAGGTCCCAATTGTAATGCTATGACTGGGAAAATTTTGGTGTTGCTTATGAGATGTGATCACACATGGAGGTTCAACTAGTTAAAAATGTCACTCATTTTTCCTGTCCATTGTATTAGCCATTGTAAGGTTTCTTGTGAAACTGGGCCAGTGTTAGTTGAATTGCACTGTGGGACTATTCCAATAAAAGAGGCAATGGCGCCCTGAAACATTCCCATACAGCATTCCAAGCTGTGACCATTTTGGCAACCATGGTAAGTATGGGCCGTCCAACCATCCCAATCTCATCAGGTCTCTCCCGATTTTGTTTGAGAATCCCAACCAATAAGCGATCAGGATAGGAAAAATCCAGATTTGACATCTCTTCTGGTTTTTTCAAATGAATTTTTATGATGCTTACAAATGTATACAAGAACACCTAAGAGAGAATAGTTAACTGAAACTGATACCCAGAAAACTTTAAATTAAAAAGTTTAGTACTTGTACATGAAGCCATGCGAATAGCCTGAGAAAACAGCCAACATTTGGTGAAGCCAGTTCAGGTTTCCTGCAAAAAGACATCTGAGAAACGAGTGCAGAAATTCCATACTTATGACGCATCACTGCCCAGATCTAGGTAGTGCTTCTGATTAGTTGAAGCAAATTTTCAGCCAATTAGATGCACTAACCCAGATCTGGGTAGTGTTGCGTCGTCAGTATGGAATTTCTGCACTCCTTTCTCAGGCGTCATTTCTCAGGAAACCAGTGGTGGCATTGCAAAATGCCAGTTATGATGATTGATTATTCAGTTGCAGTAATTGTTTTCTGTCAACATGTGTGTTTTGTCATGTTAGTTTGTGTCTAAACAATATTTCTGTTTATGATTTTCCACAGGCAGTTGTTACGAGATCCACAAGTTTTATTTGCTGGTTATAAAGTTCCCCATCCTCTGGAGCACAAATTTGTTCTGCGTGTTCAGACTACTCCAGACTACAGCCCTCAAGAAGCATTTACTAATGCTATTACAGATCTGATTAGTGAGGTCTCCCTCTTAGAGGAAAGATTTAAGGTTTGATAAGTTTACTTCTATCACATGTATGTGTGTTATAACCCCTTGAACAGGGTCAAACAAAGAATTTGTTTTGTCTTTTAATTTGCAAAAAACAGCAATCGCCACTGCTTGGTAGATTAATTTTGATCAGCTAATGAAACATACATATTAACATAAATTATATATACTTGCCAGCTTTTCAAAAAACAAAATATGCATGGGATTCTTGTCCCCATGAGGGTCTCCCATAGGGTTTTTCAATCCTGTAATCGCAACAAGCTTTTTTTCTCTTATTCCCACAATCCAACACTTTTTTTGCCTTATCCTGTTCCCAAACATACATGATGTTGATTCTTCAAAAAAAGCATTATAAACTGTATTTGACAAAATCAGCATAATTTTGAAATAGGAAGTTTTGACAATTAATGTTGCAGAGGTAACCTTTCTTAACTCCCTCATTTTGTCAGATTAACCAACCAAGTGAAAAATCCATTGATACCAGATTGTTAGAACTTTTGGTCCAAAACTGAATGAATCGGTTCTGTCCAACTGGAAGAGTTTTGAAAAGAAGCCTCATTGATAAAGGTGGACCATGTTTTCCTCAACAGGACTATCCTCATCAGGACACATCGGCTCCTGTCAGAAATTCGCCTTGATTCTGTTATTTTTTATTTTTGTCTCCATGTGCCAAGGTTTCCAGAAGTTAAAACTGAATGGATTGAAGCAGTCTGACCCAACATTTGCCATGTCTATTTTAATTTCCTTAGAGGAGAATTCATGGAGGTAGTCAAAAGTTGACTTCAACTCACCTCCTTGAAATTCTCTCCAGAAACTTTTGTTGAATGGATACCATAACAAGTTGGGGGTTTGGTACCCAGCAAAAAAACCCTGCCCCATAAAACAATCTTACTATAGTCAAGAGGGTTTACTTTGTCATAAAAGAGTAATAATTTCAAATCAGTTGTACATATTGAGTCTTTTGTTGTTGTTTGCAGGCTGCAGTCAGAGACAAGCAAGAGGGTATAGAGTAATAAGAAATGTGAAGAGTAGGATACTTTGCATCATTAGTGACCTAAAGTAGACTTGTGCTCTTGTTAAGCACACTAGGATAAGGTGCTACCATCAGTTGTTCATCATTCATGCAAACCTTTAACAAGCATCAACAACTGGACTGGGCAACTGACCCCTGTCAGTTTCTTTGTTACAGAACTGCTTTACAGAGCAGGTTACAATTTATTTTTCATGCAGAAACATGTACATAATTCAGCAATAAAAGCATCCAGTTTCTTCATTTGCTATGTCAAAATATTTTATTAATTTCCTTCTTTAATATTTCCCATCAATTATATACCAGTATCTTGAGTCCAGTTTCAGAGAGCATTTGTTTCTCTAAAGCAGATATTCAAGGGTGGGTTCATTTGACAGTACAGTATTTTATTATAAGAAAAATAGAGAAATGTTTTTTTTATATCTCTTTTTCCCTGCTAGAAGAGGAGGAAGAAGAGTCTCTTTTTCTCCCACCTGATGAATACCAGGGAAAGAGGCTCTGCTAACAGTGAAGGGATTTGCTACATGCATGTTATACTGTATTTCAGGCAGATTTGCAGTATTTGTAATTTAATGAAGTGGAGTGATTTCTAGAGATTTTCCATTTATTATTTTAGCAATACAGTCAAATGAATGCACCATAGCAATGGCTCTAAAAAAAACTAGACACTATTTGTTGCATTTATAAATTGGAACTTAATAAACTAATAACAAAGCTTTTAGCAAAACAATTGAGAATAAAAATTAGCGATAGCAATGAATGATATTTCTGTGAATCCATGTCATCATTTTCATTCAAGAACTACACAAGTTTGAAAATGATGATACGGAGTCATCCAAACGTCAGTCATGGCTATCACTAATTTTTGTTCTCAATTGAACTTAATATAATATTCTTAATCTTACTATTGGGTACATTTTCATTTACTATGTTTTTTATCGTCATTTCTTCCAGCAATTACTTGACAGTTGTTAACTAGTTTTACAGGATACTTAAATATTAAAGACATCCTTCTAAATTTCTATTTAATGAATACCTAAGTTACACTTTTAATTATTTATTATGGCCTAAGACATGTTATGACTACTAAAAACACAACATAAATCTACTTTAAAGCTTGTAGAACTTGAGGGGAACTGTTGTATTATTATCTTGATTGCATCCAACAGTCATCCATTGATGTTGCTTGGCAATGATTAAAACCTTGCCACAACAGCTGAAACACAAGAGAAGTCAACTGAGGTTTAAAAGGGTGGGAACTAGAGGGGATTGGAAAGGGGGAAGATAGTGGTGGAAAGTGGTAGTTAAGAGGAATGATTGAAAATAGGGAAAGTTTGAGAAACTATTTTAAACGACGTGATGGGAACTGAGAGAAAAGAGGAAGGAACTGAAAGAGTAGGGAAATGGAAACTGAGAAGCAGAAAGCAGAGCTACAAGCAAAGAAGTTAAGAAATGGAAGGCTAGGAAATGGGAGCTAACCAGCTGCTGGAGCTGAAAAAAGGGGAAAGGAGTGTAGTTACTGATAGAGAAGTTGAATTAAGACAGCTTGAATTAAACAAATTAAATTTATATCCTTACATTTCCTTCCTGCCATGATACTACAGCAGGTACTGGCCCTTCCTGTGGCATAGTGTAACCCAACAGACTATGCTGAACTGGAGGGATGTATTGACTGAGTAAACGTGCCATTGTCTGAAAAAGACCAAAACCAATGAAATCATGCTAGTCGAGAGTGATTTAGTAGGATATTTTCTGGAACTATGGTCTGAGAAAGTCATACCTTTCGTTTCACTGCTACATCAACTTGCAAGGCTTTACCATTCCACTCCACCAACCTCTAAAAAAAAACATCCTGATTAAGTCTTAAAATAAGGCTTCAATTTAAAACTTTACTTAGAGAGAAAAAACTGCTTAAGTTACGTTGATGTTACTTTGGGGATACATACCATTTCTTGAACTTTTCTTGCTTCTTCAGCAGTTCGGAAGGTGACAAAACCATACCTGTAAATTCCACAGAATAACTAAAATTTAATTAAAAGTTGTACTTAACTCTCTCATGTCACATTGCTCGAGATTCTACAGCCCCATTGGCCAAAAAATGAAACCCTTGTAAGGTTTTTCTATATTTTAGGTGGATGTGGGAGTAGGAAGGGGTTTTTACTGAAGTTATATAGACTGCAAAAGATAGTTGAAAAGCCATTTATTGTCTTTTAACTCTAAACTCCTTTCCATCCAGATACTTCTTCCTTCAGTAAAACATTGCCACTGTTACCCATCACCAATAACATATAGGTATTAGATAAAAACAGGGAAATAAGATTTAATATTATTCTTACCCTTTAGAAGCTCCAGTCCGGATGTCTTCAACGATCCTCACATTTTGCACCTCATAGCCCATTTCCCCAAACAAAATTTCTAACTGCAGTTCCGTCATCTATACAGAGAATGTAATATAAGCTTAAAGAAATTGTAATACAAGGCCCAAATTATATTCTGCTGGCATAAGCACCCTGGCACAAAATTTTTGGCAAAAAGATAGCGTGCTTATTATCACAGTGGGGAGACGCCCCATGAAAGAAGGCAATATTGGTGCCTTGCGTGGGTTGCCATTGCCCTGTTTTGACGTTTGAAGTGCTTACCCTAAATCCTCTGTTAAGCCCCAACTCCCCTAATTATTCTACACTAAGAAATGATAGACTGTGTTAACTAATCCACGACTGTAAAACTTCATGTGGACTGATCAGGGATGGGTTATTTACCTACTGGAAGTTCGCATTTGATTCTGATCCTCGTGGCTGCATGACCTCCAAGTTAATACCGTCTTGTATTTGAGCTTTTCCACTTTGTATTCTAGTTCTTTATGGACAACTGATACCATTGTCTTAAATAAGCCCCTTGTCTCTACTGAGTCCTTCCCCCCTCAAATGGGATTGAAATAAATGAGCCCCCCCCCCCCCTCTGGGGGACGTTCAGTAGAGGATTTACAGTAATTTTAAATGTCTTTTAAAGAAAGGTATGAAAAGTTGGTTTCTCAAGGTCGCCTTGGCTCGATCCCTCCATAATAAAACCGGTCCTGATAGCCAGCACATTGAAAGCTTGAAAGGGAATAAATCAGTGAATATATCTGTGTGCGAAATGAAACCTTATCTGTAAGTCGCTTCTGAACCATCAAGCCCTGACATAGCTGCAAAGTGTCAAGAGAGTAGGCATTTAGCACCCTTTCTCCTTCATTTGATTCACTCTACCATTTGGTGTAATTTGTCATCTTTAACCTCAAACCAAAGTTATCCCTTGAAGACTATGCATAAGTCGCTACAAGCATTGGTAGGATAGATTACCGTGTTTGGAATGCCTCTTATGAAAACACGATTTAAGACATAAATTCCATGGTCTGTCCACACTTCCTGCATCATGGCAAATACGATGAACTGGATATAAGAAAAGAAAGAGTGATTGGGTTGATGAAGTGCTTTTCTTGAAATTGGTGGTTGGGCATGGGAGCAGTAAGGCTTAGTTTGTAGCATTTTATGAGATAAATGAGGGTTCAAGAAGCCTAAGTGGAGGACCTACGACCCTAAAAAAACTAAAATAAAAGATGCCTTGATCCGTTTTTAACCCTTAGGGCACTCCCCAAAACACTTACCAATAAATGAATATATGCCAGACCTCCTGGCCTACGGGGCACTCCCCAGGGGGGGTACTCGGGATTTCAAGTAACAGAGATAATCGAATGGAGCCAAAAGTCAAGACCCAAAAAAATCTCTAGGGCTTCCAGCAAAACCCAAAAAATCCCATGCTGGGCACACAGGACAATGCAGACTATTGTATAACACGTGCGATGTAAAGTGACACCATAGTTAACTATTAAACAACAGCAAAACACATTTGTTTGTACTTTATTCGCAGAACTACGCAGCCAGGGCACTACTGATTCTTTTTAATACCCCCAAAAAATCCCTACTCAAATCAAGCTACCCAAGCCAAATTTTCGTACCCAAAAAAATCCTGGAATTGAAAATTTCAAACTCAAAAAAATCCTTTGATCATCCCTGTCACTTGAAATCCCGAGTATCCCCCCCCTCCCCCTGGGGGGCACTCCCGGGCTTCAGGTATATCAGAGGGTAAGGAATTGACAAGTTGATTTTAATATAAATTTATGCTGAACAAATGGACACAAGGTTTCCATCACTGACATAATATTTTTTTCTTCCCAGATCTGGCCCGGATGTTGCAAAGTGTAGAAAAATTTATCATTTAACTATATTAACCAGTTGAAACATGGGCTGAAGCCTCCCTGTACAAAACTTTGTCGAGAGCCCCCTGGGCCACACCCACTTCTTGTTCCCAGATTATGTATGATCCCAGTTAAATATCACTCCCAAGAAGAAAAAAAAGAAAGAATTATTTATGAACATTTTCACTGTTTTTAATTATCCCAATATTAAAGTTGGTTTAACTGTGAAGGCTCTAAGCTACTTGAACTGAGAGTTTGAAAGCAAATAATGAGTAGAACCTGGATCTCATTTTTGCTATGAAAATGGAAATATACCAGTATCTTGAGTCCAGTTTCAGAGAGCATTTGTTTCTCTAAAGCAGATATTCAAGGGTGGGTTCATTTGACAGTACAGTATTTTATTATAAGAAAAATAGAGAAATGTTTTTTTTATATCTCTTTTTCCCTGCTAGAAGAGGAGGAAGAAGAGTCTCTTTTTCTCCCACCTGATGAATACCAGGGAAAGAGGCTCTGCTAACAGTGAAGGGATTTGCTACATGCATGTTATACTGTATTTCAGGCAGATTTGCAGTATTTGTAATTTAATGAAGTGGAGTGATTTCTAGAGATTTTCCATTTATTATTTTAGAAATACAGTCAAATGAATGCACCATAGCAATGGCTCTAAAAAAACTAGACACTATTTGTTACATTTTTAAATTTGAACTTAATAAACTAATAACAAAGCTTTTAGCAAAACAATTGAGAATAAAAATTAGCGATAGCAATGAATGATATTTCAGTGAATCCATGTCATCATTTTCATTCAAGAACTACACAAGTTTGAAAATGATGATATGGAGTCATCCAAACGTCAGTCATGGCTATCACTAATTTTTGTTCTCAATTGAACTTAATATAATATTCTTAATCTTACTATTGGGTACATTTTCATTTACTATGTTTTTTATCGTCATTTCTTCCAGCAATTACTTGACAGTTGTTAACTAGTTTTACAGGATACTTAAATATTAAAGACATCCTTCTAAATTTCTATTTAATGAATACCTAAGTTACACTTTTAATTATTTATTATGGCCTAAGACATGTTATGACTACTAAAAACACAACATAAATCTACTTTAAAGCTTGTAGAACTTGAGGGGAACTGTTGTATTATTATCTTGATTGCATCCAACAGTCATCCATTGATGTTGCTTGGCAATGATTAAAACCTTGCCACAACAGCTGAAACACAAGAGAAGTCAACTGAGGTTTAAAAGGGTGGGAACTAGAGGGGATTGGAAAGGGGGAAGATAGTGGTGGAAAGTGGTAGTTAAGAGGAATGATTGAAAATAGGGAAAGTTTGAGAAACTATTTTAAACGACGTGATGGGAACTGAGAGAAAAGAGGAAGGAACTGAAAGAGTAGGGAAATGGAAACTGAGAAGCAGAAAGCAGAGCTACAAGCAAAGAAGTTAAGAAATGGAAGGCTAGGAAATGGGAGCTAACCAGCTGCTGGAGCTGAAAAAAGGGGAAAGGAGTGTAGTTACTGATAGAGAAGTTGAATTAAGACAGCTTGAATTAAACAAATTAAATTTATATCCTTACATTTCCTTCCTGCCATGATACTACAGCAGGTACTGGCCCTTCCTGTGGCATAGTGTAACCCAACAGACTATGCTGAACTGGAGGGATGTATTGACTGAGTAAACGTGCCATTGTCTGAAAAAGACCAAAACCAATGAAATCATGCTAGTCGAGAGTGATTTAGTAGGATATTTTCTGGAACTATGGTCTGAGAAAGTCATACCTTTCGTTTCACTGCTACATCAACTTGCAAGGCTTTACCATTCCACTCCACCAACCTCTAAAAAAAAACATCCTGATTAAGTCTTAAAATAAGGCTTCAATTTAAAACTTTACTTAGAGAGAAAAAACTGCTTAAGTTACGTTGATGTTACTTTGGGGATACATACCATTTCTTGAACTTTTCTTGCTTCTTCAGCAGTTCGGAAGGTGACAAAACCATACCTGTAAATTCCACAGAATAACTAAAATTTAATTAAAAGTTGTACTTAACTCTCTCATGTCACATTGCTCGAGATTCTACAGCCCCATTGGCCAAAAAATGAAACCCTTGTAAGGTTTTTCTATATTTTAGGTGGATGTGGGAGTAGGAAGGGGTTTTTACTGAAGTTATATAGACTGCAAAAGATAGTTGAAAAGCCATTTATTGTCTTTTAACTCTAAACTCCTTTCCATCCAGATACTTCTTCCTTCAGTAAAACATTGCCACTGTTACCCATCACCAATAACATATAGGTATTAGATAAAAACAGGGAAATATGATTTAATATTATTCTTACCCTTTAGAAGCTCCAGTCCGGATGTCTTCAACGATCCTCACATTTTGCACCTCATAGCCCATTTCCCCAAACAAAATTTCTAACTGCAGTTCCGTCATCTATACAGAGAATGTAATATAAGCTTAAAGAAATTGTAATACAAGGCCCAAATTATATTCTGCTGGCATAAGCACCCTGGCACAAAATTTTTGGCAAAAAGATAGCGTGCTTATTATCACAGTGGGGAGACGCCCCATGAAAGAAGGCAATATTGGTGCCTTGCGTGGGTTGCCATTGCCCTGTTTTGACGTTTGAAGTGCTTACCCTAAATCCTCTGTTAAGCCCCAACTCCCCTAATTATTCTACACTAAGAAATGATAGACTGTGTTAACTAATCCACGACTGTAAAACTTCATGTGGACTGATCAGGGATGGGTTATTTACCTACTGGAAGTTCGCATTTGATTCTGATCCTCGTGGCTGCATGACCTCCAAGTTAATACCGTCTTGTATTTGAGCTTTTCCACTTTGTATTCTAGTTCTTTATGGACAACTGATACCATTGTCTTAAATAAGCCCCTTGTCTCTACTGAGTCCTTCCCCCCTCAAATGGGATTGAAATAAATGAGCCCCCCCCCCCCCTCTGGGGGACGTTCAGTAGAGGATTTACAGTAATTTTAAATGTCTTTTAAAGAAAGGTATGAAAAGTTGGTTTCTCAAGGTCGCCTTGGCTCGATCCCTCCATAATAAAACCGGTCCTGATAGCCAGCACATTGAAAGCTTGAAAGGGAATAAATCAGTGAATATATCTGTGTGCGAAATGAAACCTTATCTGTAAGTCGCTTCTGAACCATCAAGCCCTGACATAGCTGCAAAGTGTCAAGAGAGTAGGCATTTAGCACCCTTTCTCCTTCATTTGATTCACTCTACCATTTGGTGTAATTTGTCATCTTTAACCTCAAACCAAAGTTATCCCTTGAAGACTATGCATAAGTCGCTACAAGCATTGGTAGGATAGATTACCGTGTTTGGAATGCCTCTTATGAAAACACGATTTAAGACATAAATTCCATGGTCTGTCCACACTTCCTGCATCATGGCAAATACGATGAACTGGATATAAGAAAAGAAAGAGTGATTGGGTTGATGAAGTGCTTTTCTTGAAATTGGTGGTTGGGCATGGGAGCAGTAAGGCTTAGTTTGTAGCATTTTATGAGATAAATGAGGGTTCAAGAAGCCTAAGTGGAGGACCTACGACCCTAAAAAAACTAAAATAAAAGATGCCTTGATCCGTTTTTAACCCTTAGGGCACTCCCCAAAACACTTACCAATAAATGAATATATGCCAGACCTCCTGGCCTACGGGGCACTCCCCAGGGGGGGTACTCGGGATTTCAAGTAACAGAGATAATCGAATGGAGCCAAAAGTCAAGACCCAAAAAAATCTCTAGGGCTTCCAGCAAAACCCAAAAAATCCCATGCTGGGCACACAGGACAATGCAGACTATTGTATAACACGTGCGATGTAAAGTGACACCATAGTTAACTATTAAACAACAGCAAAACACATTTGTTTGTACTTTATTCGCAGAACTACGCAGCCAGGGCACTACTGATTCTTTTTAATACCCCCAAAAAATCCCTACTCAAATCAAGCTACCCAAGCCAAATTTTCGTACCCAAAAAAATCCTGGAATCGAAAATTTCAAACTCAAAAAAATCCTTTGATCATCCCTGTCACTTGAAATCCCGAGTATCCCCCCCCTCCCCCTGGGGGGCACTCCCGGGCTTCAGGTATATCAGAGGGTAAGGAATTGACAAGTTGATTTTAATATAAATTTATGCTGAACAAA